AAAATGATATGCATAAATAAAAAAAAGGCATACAAATAATAAAGAAAGAATCACATAGCAATCAGACTAGCTAAAATTTATAATAACATAAAATTTTATTTTTGGTTATAAGCTTCGATGGGCTAATGTGTAGACATAACGCACTAATTATACTTCATCAATAGGTAGATAAGTTAGTTTCTCATATATTACTTTATTACAAAATACAAATATATGTCTAATAAAATAAAACTAGTTGGCTCTATTTAGGCTATCAGTTATATGTTCAACCCGGTATGGATATAATCATACAATAATAATGAGGATTCATTTCTTAGCTCCACTTAGCTGACATTTGCCTTTCATGTTTTTTTTTTTAAAAAAAAAAAAAGAAAAATCGTACCACCATCGCGCATGTTTTGTCTATGATAAGGTGTGGATTGTTCCCAATGAGATGTAATTTTTATTTTTTTATTAAAGTTTTATAAATTGGCAATATAAAGAATTATTGTTCCAAATATAATATAACGCTTTATAAATTACTACATACTTATACTTTATCATTTAACTAAGTTACCAATCACTTCCAATTAGATATATCTATTACTCTAAGTGGTTTGAATTATAAATATTTTTACGCCAAAACAGTTAATTGCACTATCTTAATGCAAACGATTGTTTTTTGTTGGTTCAATTAATTTAGCTAGCATTTAGCCCCAAGTTCTCAAATATTTTTGACAAATTATATTAGGATGAAGTTTCACCATGTGTTTGACCTTAAATTTTTCCAAAAAATATGATTTATACACATAAGATCTAAAAGTTATTAAAAATACCCATAAATCTATATTATTATTTTATAATGAATATGTTTCATTAAAAAAATAACCTTATAATATTGATTATAACAATCAACAATAACAAAATACAACAAATAAGCAAGACAATACATTAAACACATACTAAAACTTGTCATTAATTCAGTTATAATTATATTGGGTATATTTTTATAAAATATAAAAGTTAGGGGTAATTTTGGATTCTTTAAAATTTCCAAACATTGGAACTTGGCCCAAATACTAGTTTTGTTTAGTATTTGGAAACTTGGGATACTTGACAAATATATTTGTCAAAATTATATGACCAAAAACCACTTCCCAAGTTTTCTCTAAGTATTCTTGAGGTCAAACGAGTTAATTAAGAGTTACTCTTGAGAGGCCCAATGATTTAAGCTTGAAACTTCGATCTCAAGTTTAAAACCTCTAGCCACCAAATACAAGGGTACCAAAAGATAGCGGCAGGTTTTCCTTTTCAACAAAACTTTGTCAAGGGGTGTATATATAGTCATTTTATATTATGACTTATTAACCACTGTATTAATTTTTACATTTAGGTAGTTGAGTGCCTACTGCCTAGTGCCTACTATTGAACACACGTGCAAGTGAAAACGATTGCATTAATGTCATTTCTAGCTAAGTTGAACAAGTTATTAAGTACTATTACTCTTCAACAATACTTATTCACTATTAATTTGGTACAATTTTTAAGAAACTATAAATAAAAGGATAATTTTACTAATATATCACCCTTTGAATATAATAAATATAATATCTTAAAAATGTAATAGGGAAATGATTAATTAATAATAAGGATATATTAGAAATTAAATGTAAAATTATTCATTGATTTCATAAAGTGAACAAGTATTGTTGGACATCCCAAAATAGCATGATGGACAACTATTAATGGATGGAGCGAGTAATAATTTATCTATATTTCCCGCATTAGTCTTCTAGTTCTATTTAATATTTTCTCATCTTTTGTGGAAAATTAAGGCCAAGGGAGTTAGAGTCTATCTAATGAAGAAACTGTCCCTTTCTCACGGATTTGCCGTGACTTTTTCAAAATGAAAATTACCAATTAGTAGTATTTCCTATTAATCCGTATTGTTGCATGCAAATAATGACATTAAATATTCCTAAATTTTATGCTATTAGCTGATGCAGCAAATGTCACCTTCCTGATTTCCTATTAAAAAGGAATTAGAGCTTTTTGGTCCCATTTTTGGGCCTTTTGGTCAATATTGGTAAGAGTTGGTACACATGCTTATTGAAGAACTAATTAACACAGATAATCAAACAGCAAAAGGAGCCAACGGGCACAAGGATCTTGATGCCTATATATACATCCAAGTGGGAAGGATGTTAGAGGTGAGTAAAATGACCAAATATAACACTCACGGGAGTACCATTAGACTATGAAAGTAATTGATCACCCAATAAATGGATTAACTAAATAAAATTAAAAAAAAATCAAGAATTATGATTTCACATTAGTGACGAGAGAGTTATTTAGATGATAAGCACCTCACTTTCAATATGAAGATTGTGAATTCGAGTCATCAAGAGAGCAAAAAGGTGGGAGGAGAGGTAAAATAATAAATTAGTGAGAGTCTTCCCACAATAGACTTGGGTGAATTCCCATTCCTTCGCCGACCCCTAATGCAGTGAAAATTTGTTTACTAAAAGAAGCAAAAAAAGGGCATTGGGCTGAATCTTATTCGAATTGAAAAGGTAATTGCATCTATAGTTAAAACGCGATAGTATAATAGATAATTGATGAACTTAAACGAAGAAAATGATCTCCCTAAAAAGATTTGTGTGTGTTTTTTTACAGATCTCATGAGTTACTTTTTACTAATTACCTCTGCTGAAAGAAAGTCGTGTAATTAAAAACATATTTACATTGAAGAAGCATGGCTTTCTTTCTCGAAAAATGAAATACACGCAAAAGGACATACTTGCCTAATTTTTTTAAAAAGCATTATTTTAAGCTCAAAAACGGCAAAGCTAAAAACACCTTTTGATGCACTGCTAGAAACTGAGTAAAAATTCGAATAAAAGAGTTCATTGTTAAGAATAGTACGTAAAAAGGTCAGCTTGTTCGTATGCTTTAAACTTTAAACAAGCCAATAGGATTAGGATTAATACTGACTAACGAAATGTTTAGGCACAGTGCTAGGTGACATTATGAGAAAGATTCTTTAGATGCCAAGAACCAAAACTAATAAGAGCTGATAAGTTCGACAAATGAGATTGACAGACATGGTAAAAGGGGACCACTGTAAGATTCGACACATGTTCTCACACATCTTTTTTTGTCTATACACATCTTTTTTTTCTATGCTTATTCTATATTCCTTGTTGTAATTGACATTTCACTGTTGACCTCCAGCTTTCGATAAGGAAAACGAACAAAACACACACTGCAAAATCATATTCAAATACTTGACTATTCTTTTGCTCTATAATTAATACCCCCATTAGGGGTTAGGAGCAAGAATTTCGAACAAAGACAAAAATGATTTTGAGAACTGAAAGGTTACACAAATTTATGGAAAGGTGTATAAGTCAAATTGGAAGGCATCTAACCATTTTTTATAATTGTGATGTTTGAGTTAGTTAAATGCATATCAACTAATTCTATGAGATACCTACCTCCCACCAGCATAGGTACCAAGTACTCTGTCCACCAAGGCTTCAATTGACAAAAGGCTTGGACAGATCACAAATGAAAACGAATTACTAGTGTTTTTGACTCCTTAGAATTTAAACTTTAAGACCTCATAGTTTCCAACGCACTTTATTGACCGCTAAGTCTCACCAAATGCACACTACAAGATAATATAACACACTTGGCTATTATTTTGCTATATACAATCTAGTACCCCATAAGGAGTCGGCAACAAGAATTTTAAGCAAAGACAAAAGGGGTTTTGAAAACTGAAAGGTTACACTAATTTATGAACTGGTGTATAATCAAATTGGAAGGCTTACGAGAGGTCTCGAGTTCGAATCGGGGCATCATGTCACGTTTGATAGGGAATACCCTAGACTCAAGAATGGAACATTATGGTGCAAATCCGGATGTGTTAGGCTACAAAGCGGGTATCTGATGCCAGATGAGAAACCAAAAAAAAGTTTTTTGGAAGGCTTCTAATCATTTCCCTATAAAAACTTATCATTAGAAACCTCCAAATTAGATACTCCCTACTCATAACTTTCGCCACCCTTGCATGATAATTCAAAATTCAAGCAAAGACAAAAATGGTTTTGAGAACCAAGAAAGAGTACAACTAATTGTATGAAATGGTATAGAACGAAATTCGAAAGCTCCTAACAGTTTCCATATACAAACAAGTTGTACTGTAATGAGAAATTACCAACCCTCTAGATTTGGATATAATTACTTGTAGCTTTCACTCTCCTTGCCTTTTCCCAGTTAAACAGGCTATGCAATGTCACATTCTATATATGGTAAAAGAAAACTAATGAGTAAATGTTGTTCAGAAAGTGCCATCAGTAAATGCTATATGTAATGAGAAATCCCTGAGGTCCTAGTATTGCAGGATAAGAGACTTGGTAGTTGGTGGATAATGGACCTGCCCCTCTATCCTTCTCCACTAACATACTAGGCTTTTGTCTGTGGCAGGTTTCAAACCCATGATGTGCTTCTTGTCCACACACGTCATGCCTTGCATTTTTATCTCTAGACCGACATCCTGGGGTGGAAGTATAGATACCTATGAGACATTTGTTTACTTAGTGAATGAAACCTAGGAAAGCAAAATACCAGAACTACTAAGTTTTTTTATTTGCAACCTCCAAAACCAATTTCCTACTACATGCCTAGCTACAGACCTTAATTTGGGGAATTACCTGTCTCCAAGCCAGGCAAGTCATTTGTTACCATTAAGCACTGTGTAATTGGCATTGAATGCTTCCAGAACATGGTGACCTGCACATAGTAGACTAATGTCATGCTAGTGCAAGAAACACCCCGAAATTAACAATGTTTTCCTTGGTGGAATTCCATTCTGTTGGGAAAAAAAAAGAAAATATATTTGGTTTTGAACTATATGTATTTACATGTTCCTGCATCTCAAGCATAACATAAGTCTAACAAGGCCACATGAAGGATAATCATGGAGAAAGAACATACCTTCAGTGGCTTAGGGGGCAATCCTGCCATTCCATCATATGATAATAGGACCCACAGAAATTTATGAGAATCTTCAGCTCCATGTCCATTCATCAGAATGATCAGGGGAAATTTCTTCAACAGATGTAATCCAGCTTGAATTATCAAGTAATAGAGATCTGCCACTTGCTTTGTCAGAAAACACTTCAGAGTTGCACGAGAACCAAATGTCAGAGTTGAGTGCACGTTCAACTGATTGAGGAGCAATTTCTCTTGGGTTTGAATCATATAAGCTGTTTTTGATCTCCTCATGTGTTAGACCAATTGAATCTTCTATATGAGGCAGTCTTAAAGTATTATAGGTTGATAAACCCTTGTGCAATGGGGAACTGGCTGCTGACAAGAACTTCCAGCCAAAAGTATCCAAGGCCATTGGCATGAGGCCATCAGAATCACAATGATGCTTCTCATGATGACTTAGATATGGGATGATTGCATTGCTGCTTTCAAATGGATTCTCAGGATTACGATCTTCCAGAAGATCTTGCTCCTCTGAGCTACATAGCAAGGGTAGATCAAACCGGTCCATTCTTGCAACTGCATATTCTTCATGTTCAAGAGTCGTTCCAAATTCCTTGAAGAAGATGTCAGTTGGAAAGAGTTTCTTATGAAAGCTTGTTGAACAAGAATATGGCAGCACATCAGAATATCCAGAGTTCATAAATAAAGACGATGAACACAATGCCAGCGCATCAAGCTTCTTTTCTGTACTCTCCTGCTGGTAATCAACGTGCCATGAGGTGGCTATTGGTGAACACAATTTATTCCCTCTGATAGTAGTAATGGCTAATACAGGATCATTTTTCTTCTCATTGAAATCCCAATCTAAGAATAAGTCTTGTCCTCCTCTACTTACAGGTATATCTGCACTATGAAGTCTATACGGTAGGAAATCAGCAAGCCCATGATGGTCAAAGGATAATGAAGGCAATGAATCACTCTGATCCCACAAATTTGTAGTTATTTTGTTGTTTGAAATTTCACTATTATCTGCATCTTCATAGTGCAACTCTGGGAGAACTCTCTCCTTTGGCCTACCAAAGAAATTACTGGGACAGCAATCACTCTGGCTCATCCTATATTCTGGTGCTACAACATGTTCTATGTGCCTTGAAGGAGGTCGTGTCTTTGCATGATCTGGCTTAGCATTTGCAAGTGAGCTCGTACTTGCTATTTCCCCTTTCCTGACCTGTGAATCCCAGAAATCCTGAAATTTCAAGTAAGAGAAGTCAAGAAAAATAAAAGAACTTAAAACTTATGTCGTTGCTGAAAAAGCTAAGAGATCATACTTCATCCTCCTTCCTTCCAGGAAACAGCCGCCTAAGAAGTGCAGAAACCAAATCAAACCTGGAAACCTAAGTCAAGTTAAGATGGAACTTATCAATATACAAAAACAACTGAAAACGTTAATCTGGACAACCTTTCAGAATTGAGTTTTTGGACGTCAAGAAACAGTTTATTTGCCCGCTGACAAAGTTTCTGCCTCTTTGCTGCAAAAATCCCATTACCAGAGTACTGGCTCCCTAAGAATGATAAGAAAGACGTAAATGTCTCTGAACAAATGTTTATGTTTACATCTAAGTCTAATCATATGCCCTGTTAACTGCTAAAAAGCAAGCACCATAACCAGCTGACTGAGTTTAGTAAAACCAGTCAGCTAATGTAACAGCAGAACACAGACAAAACAAGATACAGATATGATTCCCCACCTTATACAATGAGCACATATTCAAACAGACAAGGTTCTCATTCTTGTTTCACCATGGCAAAAAAAGCCTCCTCTTGAGGTATTGCTAGTGTGCCAAAAACTATGGCCATAAGAGTGCTAATACAAGGGAACACGTGGGAGATTGACCTTAATCTAGCTCAAACAACTAAAAGATTATGTTGAGAAAGAAAGAATAACAGCAAGTTTGGTCTTAGAGTGAAGAATCCGGTAATATCATTCCCTAGTTATGTTGCTTGAACTCTTAAAAAATGTCATAAGGTGTGTGTCGGATCCTCCAAAAGTAGTTTTTTTTGGAGGATCCGACACAAGTGCGGCATCATTTTTGGAGAGTCTGAGAAAATAGTTCCCTAGTGTTTCGTTTTCCATCTTTTCTTGGATAAATATAAATCCTCACAAATGAAGCAGCCATATCCATCTCACAAGGCAATAATTATCCATAGAAAGGAAGAGGTGAGGGATTGATAGCGTAATTATGCATTCAGTATCTTAAGTGAAGAATCATAGCTCCCAAGAGAATTGAATATAACCTGAATTATGTGATGGACCTGCAAGGGGTGACAGCAGCAAATTTGAATATACAGGAGTCACTACAGTTGGGGATGAAAAGTACTTAAGTTTTGCCTCCTTGGATATGCCTGCATTTTGGTGTACCATGAAGATCATCAAAATTAATGAGGTTGACCAAACAGAGTCAAGATGCTTATATTGCTTGTACGCGGTATAATCTGCTTCCTACCTATGACACCATCAACAGGTGAAAAGGACTGGCATTCATTAGTCTGACGTTCCTTTTCAACTTGAATTGGGATGTTAACATCCTTATTTGGGCACTTCAGCACGTTGTATGTGCTCCGTGTGTCTGCACATTAAGCATAATTAGCTAAATCCTTCAAATAAAAGGTGGTTTTGGAAAAAAATAAAGCAAGTTGAAATTTGCTTAAAGCTTTTGGGGAACCAGAAAGTTAACTAATTAGAAATCATAATGCAACCCACCTGAGATACAATTACTAGGTTGAGTGATCTTGGGTAGTCTACTCCCTCTATGGAGAAGATCTGAATTGCTATGGCCAATGTTCTTTTTCAACTTCTTGAAGAAAGCATACTCTGAAGTTTTGGGAGTATCAGCTGCACTAACAATACTATTATTCTTGTAGAATTTAGAGGGATATAGATGAAGTAGTTAACATCTTCTGAAATAATAAACTGATTAGGACATAGGTAATAAAAAAGGGAGTACTCAAGGAAAGAACAATCTTACAATTGGGGTTACGAGCTGTACGATATTTTTTGGACAATGCAACTCTTCCACCATTTGAAAGAGGATCTGCTTCGTTTTCTGGGGATGCAACCTTTTTGTCCTTGATCACATCTAACAGTGAGAAATACTACAAATGTCATGTATAGCTGGGGGATAAAGGGTGGGTACAGGTCAAATATCAAGCACAAAATTGTTAAAACGATAATAATTAATAAATGAGATATACGAAAAAATGGCCATACAAATCAAATCAAAATGCAAGAAATGAACGAAACCATACAAAATCATATATAAAGATAATGAATTAATGAAATATCCATGGTAAGTCCAGCTACCTCCATTTAGTCCGAAAGCACAACTGATATGTGGTTGCTGAGTACAGATACTTGCCAGGATCTTAAATGACTCAGGTTCATAGCATCTTTACTACTGGTAAAATGCCATCGACGTGAAACACACAACATAAAAAATGGCAAACAAGAGACTTCATTAATAAGGAAGAGGATGTATAACACCTCCTTGATTACATCAGGACTCTAATAATTTGAGGTTAATCATAGAAACTTTATTGTAATCACGTACAAATCAATTATATTCACTATTCATCTGGTTTGGCACAAGCTACTTCTTCTTAGCAAGCTTATGAATGAAATGAGCTTCAAGACATATTTGTACTGCTATAAAGAGTAAGATACTAAGGCTTAAATGGAGACACATGGACCCCAACTTGAATTAGGCACAGTAGCTATTGCAGTTGCAATTAATAAGATACCATGCCCAAGAAAATGACAGAAAAAAAATGAAAAAATAAAATCCAACAAATAGGTGAAGCTATACGTGCAATCTGACATATAACATCAACACGCCATTGTTGAATAACAACTACGACCAAATAATCCAAAATAAAAACACACAATCCTGAAAATGCACCAAGTATCTCAAATCATTCACATTCTAAGCATCTCGACAGGTTCCGCTTAACATATTGCAGATGATAAGAAGCCTATCAATTATGAAAATGCAAGCAAAATACATCACAAATAAGGAAAAAGTTAAGAGTGTACGACCTTCTTCATATGTGGTTGGACTACGATCGTTTGACGTAGCCTCGAGTCAAACAAGTGAAATTGAAAATTTTCAATGTGACTCATCCAAAGCCATCTATTCAATATGTATAAGCTATTTTATGATTGGCAATATCCAAGAAGTAACTAAATCCAAAATAACTTGCCTCTTGTAAGTCATTATTCTAAAATTCAGTGCAAACTGCGAACCCAGAAGACTTGTCACTTTTTGTGTGACAACTTAGTATAAACATATAGTTTGGAGAAGTTCTAAATTATATTTATATTGTTCGATTCTAAGGCAACAGGTTCATCCACCCACATTTCTGCAGTAGCAGACCATTCGCATACCATGAAGTCGATCTATGAACCAGTAGCTGGAAAACATATCTTAGGAGAACCAAAACAAAAAAATAGTCTATGAGATTCAAAAGACTGGTAGATCGATCAGCCAGAAATGAAAAATTAAGTTCGGAAATAATTTCAAGTAGATGAACGCAGAACACCAGAAAACTTGTCTCTATGCTTGCGGCAATAACTTCCAACTTTAGTATAACATATATAGTTTGGAGAAGTTCTAATTATACTTATGGTGTTTGATGCAAGGCAACGTTCATCCACAGATATTTCTGCAGTAGCAGATCATAAGCATACCAGTTCATAATCAATCACGCCAATATTTAATAGATGGATCAACATATTATAAACCGGTAGCTGTAACTAAAATTGTATAAGAACCTAAACGAGAAACATAATCTATGAGATTCAAAAAAACTGGCAGATCGATTGGCCGCAAATGAAAATTAAGTTCCGACTTAGTATTTTATAGTTTCGAGAAATTCTAAATTATATTTCTAGTGTTTGATTCAGGGCAACAGGTTTCATACACCGACATTTCTGCAGTAGGCCGCCAGTAACAGATCATACGCATACACCATTTCGCAATCAATCACGCCAATATTTATAACGTGGATTAACACATTATAAACCGGTAGAAACTAAAATTGTTGAAGAACCAAAACGAGAACATAATCTATGATATTCAAAACAACTGGTAAATCGATCAGCCGGAAATGAAAAATTAAGTTACAAAGTAATTGTCAGTACCAAATCGGTCTTCATCACTGAGGCGATGATGTTGAGTGATGTTTCCAGCTGAAGAATTCAAGGTTTTTGGTTGATGATTAACAGCGGAATTGAATCTTCGCATCATTAAGTTGTGGTGATTGTCCTTCTGAAAAGTCGATCGAAGCTTTTCAAATTTCTCTTTGATTTATGAAGAAGACGAGCGCCAAAGCGGTTCAATTTGCGCGGTTGGGCTTGTGGGATTGGACTTGGAGCATATTATTCAGGCCCAATTTATATTGCCTCTTCACGAAAATTTTAATTAGTTGTTCCTAATTTGCATTTTATATTAGGTGCAATTGTTGTTCACTACCCGTTATATATCCAATATATTATTTATTTTGAAGTTTTTTTTTGTCTTTTAATTATTAGTGTTTTAGAAATGAAAAAGAATACAGTTTCGAAATTCAATTTAACTTAAGTTTTAAAAAAAATAAAAAATTCAAAGAGAGTCGCCACTTAATTTTAGAAATCAAAACTTATATTTTCAAAAGTAATTGACTTGATTGACGGTAAAAGAAAAAGAAAAAACCTAGAAAATTGGATAGTAACTTTGCATATGCACCTAATACAAAATAAAGCAGATATCTACTTCAAGTCCATTTTCTTTTATTTCTTTCTATATTCAATCTCTGCCCTCTAATTTTAAATTTGCAGTTTTTTCGTGGTAAAGGCAATTGCTATTGTGGATGGCAAACAATAACTATTTATTTGACTAATTAATTCTCGAGAGTTATTTATTATGTATTTATTGACTGCCAATATAAAGAATAACACAAAATAAGCATCTACTTCAAGTCCATTTTCTTTTTATTTCTTTCTATATATGATCTCTGCCCTCTAATTTTAATTTGCAGTTTTTTCGTTGTAAAAGCAATTGCTATTTGTGGATGGCAAACAATATTTGACTAATTAATTCTCGAATTTTATCACCTTCTGCAATTATCTTTTCCAGAAAGGTGTACTCTTAACAGTATTGATATATTTACTCACGCGCAGAGGATGTTAAGCTTTATGCTTCTACAGTTACTGTCATCTTTTGACAAAAACTGCAAAGAACATTTATGAACATTACGCACTGCAAATACTTGCTGATATTTATTTTTAACTTTTTCTTAATTTCATTTTCTTTTTAGTCGATTGGTGTTTAGTTTTAAGCTTTATGCTTCTACAGTTACTGTCATCTTTTGACAAAAACTGCAAAGAACATTTATGAACATTACGCACTGCAAATACTTGCTGATATTTTTAACTATTTTCTTAATTTCAATTTCTTTTAGTCGATTGGTGTTTAGTTTCTTGCACCACAAACTTTCACTCAACTTGAACAGTTCGACTGCTGAGCCAGAAAAACCAATTACTTGGAAGAACTTTAATTAATCCCAATACTGATTAATTTGATGAAAGAGAGATTTTTAAATGCCTGCGCCTTCAGTTTATTAATTGTTGTAGTAGTCTTTTCTTATTCCGAACATTTTGAGCAATATCCAATTCAGGTTCGCAAGATGATTCCAAACTGTGAGATCCGGAGATTTAATAACAGTAGGCATGCCCTTCTCCTGGTAGGCTGTCTTCTTTTCCAAACCCTTTCGGACACAATTCCTCTTTCTTTCCACATATTACTTTTGCTCTATACCATATTCATAACTGCTTATTATGCAAATGGTAATAGTTCTTTTTGCTTAGAATAATCTTTGTGAACAAACAACAAAACAAAGCAGAGAACGTGCATGTATACAGATAGATTCAGTCCCGTTGAAGTTTATTCTAGTAAAACAAGAAAAAGAAAGTGCCTTCTAGTAAAATGGAGAAAAAAAGAACACGCCCCACCTTAGTGACTGAATGTTGTGGGCATGGTTACGATTACGACTACTTCACACATATTGAAAGTGATATGTTCCACTTTAATTTAAATCCAATTCCATCCACAAAGTTAAATGGAATTAATTGTATAGTATCTCCCTACTTGTTTTGGTGTAAACAGCTTTGTATAGATGATATAGATCAAATTATAGATTTGCTAGAAATTCTGTAATTATCCCTTTTTGGAGCACATACTTTGCTGAAGAATTCAACCTTTCAGTTTCAAAAAAAATAAATATGCTTTCACCCATGTTGAATTTACTTTCATTTCTGTGGAATAAAATAGCTCTGAACTAATCTGTATTCTGAGAACAACCTTTGAGATATATGAGAGAAACATAATTTGAAAGGCTCGTCTTACTTGTTTTTTCACATTATGCAGGTTATAAAACATGTTGTTGAAATGTATAATTAATTTATAACAAGTATTTGACAATTAATGAGATGGGAACACAAAGTTTAACTTCACACCATATTTAATGGTATTCCTCAATTGTATTTTCTTTAGAAAAAATTAAATGTAGGGAAGATCAATAGTGAAGCAACAATTTCAATTTTCACTCATGCAATTGAAAATTTTGTTCATTTGTGTGTTAATTTGTGTGTAATATAAAATTGACTTTCATTTTCCTTTCTTTCCGATTTATATTCATTCCTAATTAGTTTTTCCATTTCTTCGTTGCTTCTACTGAGATATTTTTATCTCTTTGTTTGACTACTATACTTTCTTCATTTTTCTCTTTCTGATGGAATTTTAGGTCACTTTTGAAAGTTGATCAGGTTGATGATGAATATCTTGTTGTTTGAATTGTTTGATTTTTTATTTGTTCTATCAGTGAATCATCTTTTGAGGTTTGATGTAATAAAATTGTGTGTAATAAAATTGACTTTCATTTTCCTTTCTTTCCGATTTATATACATTCCTGATTAGTTTTTCCATTTCTTCGTTGCTTCTACTGAGATATTTTTATCTCTTTGTTTGACTATACTTTCTTTATTTTTGTCTTTCTGATGGAATTTTAGGTCACTTTTGAAAGTTGATCAGGTTAATGATGAATATCTCTTATTATTTGAATTGTTTGATTTTTTATTTGTTCTATCAGTGAATTATCTTTTGAGGTTTGATGTATACTTGGCCTTTTCTTTTACAGGATTTTACATGCATGTTATTATTGTTGACTCGGAGCGCACTTGAAGACCCAGAAGAAATATTTGGAAGAATCCAAAATAGAAGAAGGGTATAAAGGTTTTATAAGAAGTGACTGTGACTATTAAGTGCAGATACAATCTATAGAAGGTCAGTCATTGGCGTAAGTCATCAAGCACGTAATGTCTTCAAGAATTTGACAGGTAGGTGAAATTCTTTATTTTTTCTCTTTTCATATTTCCATTTTCCACATAGCTATCTGTTTTAGTTGTTTTTAAATACAGAGTTTTTATTCAATTTTGTTAAAATCAGAGTTTGTGGTGTAATTTGTCCCATCTATCTTTATTCTTGCTGCTTTATTTTTAAATAGCTTGTTAAATAGCTTCTTCTTGTCTCTTTTCTATAGATCCATTGGACCTCTGAGATGGATATTTATGTTCTCAGGAAACAGAAAAATGGTCAACGATGGAGCTTCAGAGATCTTGGATGGATTCTGTGTCTATGAGATAGTAATTTTTTTTTGTTATTTTGTATTGATATTCAGAATGGCTAAAAGGGGTTCTTTAGTGTAAACCTATGTTGTTTGGATTCTTAAAAATGTCTTGACACAAAAATGCCTTAACACATACGTTTCAGATTTGACAAAAGTTGAAGAATTCGACACGGATGAAAAGTGAAGAATTTGCGGAACTAAGGTGTAATACACATCAAGCAATTTACTTGTATATAGAATTTGCTAGCTTTCAATATATTAAGATATAGGAGCTATGCAGTTTTAACTATTATGTTTCTCCATGTGTTACATTTTCGTTCTTCTAATATTTATAAGTTATTCGTCACTTGTGTAACCATGCAAAACATCTTAAAATTGATAACAGATCGTTGGGCCCGTGCCCATCTAGTCATATAAGAATCTAAGAATCATGTTACTAACGCAAATTGATATTATCTAAATTAAAACTACCCATGGAAAGTATCAAAAACAACTAGAAAGAAATAGACAAAATCTGCATATATATTGCTACTAGAATACTATCCAAAGAAATGCATAAAGCAAGTAAGAGTTAAAAATACGGAAAGAAATGCATGGCTATGAAATACTGTATAAGAGTACGCAAGTATGGATCGGAGGAATTAAGGCCATTATTCATACTAAGGTATCAATGGAGAACTATGGAAGCATCAATAAAGAAGCAAACTAGCCACTAGCTCTCCATAACAATCAATGCAATATTTGCTAGAAACAATGAGTATGGCAGTAACTAAGGAGACTAGAAGACTGAACAAGAGTGGGATTTTCACAAGTTCAAATAAAGAAAGAGGGCAGACACAGGCAACAGAACAGAACAATCAGTCGATTTAAAGCTTAAACAAAATATGTATATGACTATATTCACTTGCCACTCTATTTAGAACTGAAGTAATATGTCTACTGATGAGAGAGGAACATTGTATTTTTTGGCATCCTAGCAGATTGACTATTGAAACTCAACATTAACCAAACTATTTGGATCATAAACATGACAAGATATGGCCATATTAAGGTCATGAAACTACTGGAGAACAAGGTAAAAACTCGCTTTAACAAAAAGAAAACAACTTATGCTGCAAGACTAGACTCTATGGCAACTTAACTTGAACTGACAAAATATAATAAAATATGCATTTCAATAATTATCAAGCAACAGAGAAGTGACATAGACAGTCTAACAATGCAACTTTCAGAAGAGCCTAAACAGCGAGCAACAAACCGATTAAGAACTGGCAACAAATACCTATCTCACCAAATCAAACATGGATCTAAAGATAATGAGTTAAAGAAATAGGATGCATAAGAGTTGTGAGTTTTCACTCATCCGAGCCTGACTCTTTGAGAGATGCTAAAGAACAGTCCCAAAGATAAACTATTTCTCATTAAAACATGTCCTCGGCTGGAAGAAATAAAGCACACGAAAGCATACACAGAAACTGTATATCATGTATTAAGATGAAATTAAAGTAAGTGAGTGCAAGAGAGAAAAGGAAGTTGAAAGAACGAAAGATACACGCAAATAAGAGTAATTTTCTACTAAACT